AAACTTTTCAACAGTAATTGTATTTTACAATTTATCTACTTAAAAATAGTTCCCCATGCTAGGAATGTAGCTCTGTGGTACAGCACTTGCCTGGCGTGTGTCAGGTCCTGGGTTTGTCTGTAATATGGAAAAAAAGAATAGTTCCCCAAATCTCATTGATACCTTATACTCAAAGGTATTCTAAGTTAAATTAATTCCTTATTGACCATATCATTCCCAAATAAGATAAAATATCAAAACATTAATTGCTGAACCTGTTTAGATCTGCCCACCTTTGGCTTTGAAAGACCACAAAGCTCCTGGATTGACAGATTTACTACCTTGAACTAAAGCCACTTGATAAACAGCTGATGAAAGAATAAATTAAACATTGTCTTTACTTTCTGTACTTAAAAACAGGAGATAAAAATTCCATGTGAAAGAGCTCCTCCCCTACCCCAAAGGAAAACATTCTTCTCACTGTGGGCAGAACACTGAGGCAAAGGGAAATCTGTAAAACAACAATGTCATCCTGAGGCCCAGATGACAACTTGGAGAGGGAAGAGACAGAACTCCGGGCCCCACTCTCCCCTACTATATCACCTAGAATTCTTACAAGTGCAGCTTGCTTTCTACTGTTACATGCTGCACTGGAAGCATTTTCTTCTTTCTGGAAAGCCTGGGGGCTGAACTGTCACCCAAGTGTGGCCAAGCACTCCTCAGAGCTGAGCAGGCCAGGCAAGGGCTGACAGGCGGAGGTCACTACTGCAGAGGTGGTTCCCACTGGTCTACTCTGGTCCCATTTGCAAAGACCTGGCTCCGGCCTGTCTCAGTCTTGTCTTCCCATCCCATACACATCTCACATGTTCCTCTGGATCTCATTGGCCAGTCTCTTCCTAGTGACTGCAGCCAAGCATCCTCACTGATTAACTTACCAGATTTGTCAGGCTTCAAGTCTCTACCCTTGACCCTAGTCATTGGAATCTGGATGACCCTTGTTACCGTTGAAGTAATAATCACCAAGGTGAGGAGAAATGTGCAATGTCGAATTCCTCAGGTAACTCTGGTGCTCAGCTGTGACTAAGAACCAGTGTGTGTGTGACCAGTGAAAGACACGAACCTGTTGTACTACCTTCCTGTGCAGAGGCTGACGACATCCCCCGAGACACCTCCCTCCTGCTGCTGGTGTGCGCACCCACATATTCAAGAAGTGCTGAGTGAGGTCCTACTATGCAGTGTTCCAGGCATTGTTCCAGATTCTAGAGAAGTGATCAGAACAGACAAGGAAAAGTCCCAATCTGCTAAAGTACATCAAGGAGGCTGAAGCAGGAGGATCATGAGTTGGAGGCCAACCTGGGCCAAATAAATAGCAAGACCCTCTTGGGGATGGGGGAAGAGTACGTCTCCTACTTTGGTAGGAGAAGAGGAGGGAATAATAATCCAAAGAAAAATATACAGTATTTCATAATGAGCAGGTCTAAGAAGAAATCTGAAGCAGAGGAGGGTTAAGGGCATGTGTATGTATTGGGAGGGTTTAGAAGTTTGGAGGGACATCTGGAAATCACATTGCGGGACAGGAGCAAGCCTTGAGGACATGGGAACAAATAGCTATGCAAAGACCCCGGGATGAGCAGATGTCTGGATCCTGGAAGAACAGCAGATAGATAACGCAATGGTGCAGAGTAAGGAAGAAGAGCAGACACGGTGTCAGAGTGGGAAAGGTGGTGGAGGGATGGTGTCTGCAGTCTCTACTTTTGCCACCTGAAGACGGGAATTGAAGGACCCTCTGGGGTACATCAGCCTAGTGGGTAAAGGAGGGCTGTCTGAAGCTTCCTCTCAGTAGCCCTTCTCTGTTTTGCCAGTACGTATTGGGACTGTCCTCAGTGTAAGTCTTCTCTGGGGTTACCCTGCCCATGTTTCAGGGTAAGAGTAGAAAACAGTCCCATTCACAACCACCCACACAATGGAAGGTGTTCTTCACAAAGAACATACAGACAGCACCATGAGGAAGACATGCTGAAAAACAGAAAGAAAAATATGAGTTGATTATAAACCTTAAATGTTCTTGTCTGTCCTGAATTAAGGGAGAAAGGACACTTCCCAGAATCCTGCTTAATAGGAAAACTGGAAAATTCTAACAATCACCAGAAGTGGTTTTGTTTCTCTTAGGTGCCCTGATTTCCTTCTGTACCCAGAGCTCATCACAGCCCTCTGACTGATTAGATACTAGGAGAAAAACTAAATGCATATTCCCCTGACTGTTAACCTTCATCAACAACATGCCCAGCCTCCTGAGCATCCCTCATGCTGGCCACAGATGTTGTTTGACATCTCTCGGGCCTAATTTTTCTTCAGATACCCTTAAGCCATTGTGAATCTGCTGCCTGACCTGTGTTCACTCATTGTCTGGGGCGTGGGCATCAGCTTTATGTCTTTGTAGATCTATAAATGATAATGTTTTGCTTTCCCACAAACTGCATACTCATTCATTCAATCACTCTTGTCTTAGGGCCTTAGTAGGCTCTGAAACATGGCGTTTCTCACTGTCTTATCTTCGCCCATAACTATGAGCACAGATAAATGGTGGTGATGTCAGGCATAGTTCCAGGGACTGAGGTACCAGTGCACAAAATGTCTACTAAGTGAATGTGGAGGAAAAAGCATGGGCTTACACATTTTAGTGGGAAGACAGACCATAAATAAGTATGAGTGAGGTAATAACCACTGTGAGAAGAGGAAGTCATAAAGCATGTGCTGCTAGTTTAGGATGATGGCCAAGAAAGGACACTTGGCTTCTAAACAGGTCTCTGGAAAGTCTCAGTACATCTTTCCAGGCACAGGAAGGAGCAAGAGCCAAGGCTCAGGGGCCTTGAGCATATTTGCTCAGACAGTGGCCAGGAGACCATGCTGAAGTAGGGCCAGGCAACTGGGATCGGGAGGTCTCAGGCTTGGCCAAGCTCCGAAGGAACACTGTCAGCCAAAACAAGAGCCTTGAATGTGTTCTTAGAAGCCATGGAAGTGTTCAGGAAGGTTGTTAAAAGCTGGATGCTAGGTTTTGAGGGAGACCACAAGTCTAGTTGGGAGACAGTTACAGCACTCCAGCCCCAGCCCCAAAAGGGGAGAAATACATGCCAGGGATAAACACCAGCCAGAGACCCACAGACTCAACTGCTTCCACCTCTCAGGACTCTGCTCCTTGCAGAGGACGACCGTCTTGTCCTTCTTGTAAAACGGGGCTTGATTGCATCATGATATTTTTCACTGCAGGTGTTTTCATTTGATATTATCCTTCGTTTAAGAATTTCACCAGTTCAGATCCCCTAGAAAGCCTAGGTAAAAACGTCTGTCTTCTTGAGTCAAGACACGGTGTGGTGGTGTGTGCCTTTAATTCCATCACCTAGGAGGCAGAGACCAGCCAATCTCTGGTCTATATAGCAAGTTCTAGGCCAGCTAGAGCTATAGGGAGACCCTGTCTCAAAAAGACCAGAAAGAGTCTGTCTTCTGAACTTCCTGCAGACTGTCATGGCTTTAAGAAAAGTGGCTGTTGGCCAGCCATATTTGCAACTTGGTAATTAAAATGCTTAAATCCAGGAACTAGGGAGTTGGTAAAGTGTCTTCTGTGTAAGCATGAGGACTTGAGTTCAGATTCCCAGCGCCCATGTAAGAAGCCAGGTGTGGTGGTGCACATCTGTAACCTTAGCTCTGTAGTGTGTGTGGTGGGGGATTGGGGGGCTGAGGGCAGACATGCAAGATCTCTGCAGCTCACTGGCCAGTCAGTCTAGACAATGGGTTCAGTGAGAGACCCTGTCCCAAAGAAGGTGAGGAGCAATAAAGGAAGATACCCCAGTGTTGCCCTCTGGCCTCCATACAGACTGCACAACACTTAGATGTGAAGTGGTAGAGAACTTAACTGGCCATACCCCTGGAGCCCCACAGCTGCCCCTTTGTGCATCCTCAATGTTTTATTAGAGAAAGACCCTGCCCTCTTTTGCATGGAGCCTTGTGTGTCTTTGTGTCTAGAGTCTTGAAGCTCCTCCTCTTCTGCGACTAGCCACGTGGCAAATCTTGGAAGGATCTAGATGGACAGTTGAGCTCTCACTCCTTCTCTTCCTGTTGTGTGGCTACTATAAACGACAGCTTCTCAACTGAAAACAGTGTGGGCTCAGACACAGGGCACAGCCAGCAGTCTTCTGTGGGGCTTTGCTGCTCAGTGACTGCCAGAGACAGTCTGGGGAGATGGCACCCTGCGGCCTGACGTGCGCAAGCTCTCTGTACCACCCTGACTGCGGTCAACTTCCTTGGTCTTCTCATTGTATGATTTGGGATTTTTTTCCTTAAAAGAATTTTTTTTAAAAAAAAATTTACATGTATGTGTGTATAGGTCTCTCTCTCATGTGTATGTGCACATGCATGTGTGCATGTGTGCACAGATGCCACAGGTGTGTGTAAGTCAGAGGATAACTTGCATGAGTCAGTTCTTTCCTTCTACCGTGTGGGTCCTGGAGCTCGAGTTCAGGTTGTTAGGCTTGGTGGCAAGTGCCTGTACTCACTATGCCATCTGGCAAGCTTGACCCTCTGTTCCTTTTAACATGATTTTATTTGAGTAAATTAAAGGTAAGTGCAGATCACATGGAGTAACCCGACCTGCCTGAGGGGCAGCAACATGAGTAGGTGAACTGAAATGAATTTCCACCAGTAGAGCAGCTTTCCTCAAAGACAGAGAAAGCATTTACAAGACCTTAAGTACTAGCTATAACCCTTACTTCAGATTATTAAAAAACAAAACAAACCCCAGAGGCTGGCTGCAGTAGTGGTGTATGCCTGCAGTCCCAACACTTAGGGAGTAGAGGCAGGAGGATTAGGAATTCAAGGCCATCCTTGGCTACATAGTGAGTTCAAGACCAGCCTGATCTATATGAGACCCTGTTTCAAACAAATAATCCTCCTGACATCTTCTGAATAAAAATGTTTTAAATTAATAATAATGTTAGTTTGGGTTATAAGATTTGAAACACTTCAAATAAGGAGATCTTATAAAGTACTTTATTGTGCTTCCCAAATTTCAAGCTGCTTCTATATGGCTCCAGTGATTCTCACAAGCAGGAAAGGTCCCCTGTGATTCAAGTTAATCCCACTTTATCAAAAGGAGGTAGAGGGAGGCGAAGGCTCAGTGGCACAAGTTGCAGAGGCCCATACAGTACACTTGGCTTTTAAACCCAGGCCTGTCTCAAGGCCCTACCACACCCCCAGGAAGAAATTTAAAACAGAATTTTGGGCTGTCCATAACATCATGTTTCATACTTTCTGATGAAAAAGTTAAGGGTTTTTCAGGACTAAAAATACTTTCATTTGAAAAATTTAAAACTTACCAGATATTATTTCAATGATATTCACTTCATAAATGTTAATGAGAGACAGGTAAGACTTTGGTAGACTTCATTTAACTCAGTATTTCCAGTAATCTCAATGTGCAACCAATATGAAAAGGTCTCCTTAATGAGATATTTTGAATATTTTCATGCTGTTTTCAAAATCGAGTATGTATTTTATACTTACTGTTTATTTGGATGTCAAATTTTGATTCAAAATACTTCTCTTGACTGAGATTTCACAACATTCATTCTTGAAAAAGTAGATTCACATACCCAAGTCATTCCAACCATACTTAACAGTTTTCATAATAACTGAATAAAAAATCTGTATTTAAGCTAAAACTTTGGTTTTTGTGCCTCTGGAGAGTCATGGGAGCCACCAGCTCTACTGAGGGCACAGCACCGACAGAAGCAGGCACTGAGAGCTATGGCACAGGGTGCTGCTAACACAACGGCATTCACAACAGAGCATCCTCTTCAGAGCTAAAGGCCTCCGATGAAGCTCAAAGAGCTCCCTGTTCTCAGAGGCACTGTATAAGCAATGTAAGTGGTCTCAGTTATATTTTCTTATAACATGCGGCATTTTCTTGTAAACTTTCTTTCACCTGCATTCAGATTTCGTACAAAAATGCTTCCTGTTGGAAGAGGCTTTGTAATAATTACAGGAATTCTCAATCAACCCCACCAGTTATGTCTTCAATACAAATGTTACTCATGGTGTTAAACTAACCGCTGCCCCCGCCCCAAACATATTAATAGTGTCAAAGCTACATACTGTATTTTCAAAACAATATGAAATATTCCTGGAGCTGTTTGTTTACATGGGGTAATTCCTGAAAATCAAAGTGAAAAAATTTCTATGTCGATGTTAAAGAAATGGCTCTACAGATCCCTCTGTCATCCCATTGTAAGTCACCGATTAATAAAGCAAATGCTAAACCATTAGAACAAGACCCAGGGACAATAATTAAAGTATTTATTTACCTCACACCTGTGTGATCCTTCCTATTATCAAACCCAGTGATCAAAATAGATGCTAAAATCTTTACCACAAGTGAGAAACTGGCCTTGGGGTCAAACACCCTAAAAATAGGAGACTCAAATGTTGGCGCGGATGCTGTGAAGGAGCCTGCCCACCAGCAGGACCGGCGGTGCTCCCCGCTTCACATCCTGGCTGTCAGCTCTCTGACTTGTTCCTGAAGCTCCATTTTTGCGATTGCTGACAGGTGGACTTCATCAGGTCCATCTGCTAAGCGCAGAGTTCGGATTACGGCATATCTGGAAAGACAAGCAAACAGGTCACAGATTTACCAAAAGAGCATGCTTCTGTAATGTCACGTTCATCCTAAGCCAAGACTGTATTAATCTCACAATAAGAAAAAGAAAACAAGTATGAAGGAAATGAAGGGAGAAAGTCAAAGGCCTTTGGGAGCTGCCATTTCAGTTTCCAGTTTAGGAAGGTGGCTGAGAAGAGGTGCCCAGCAGCCACCTCCTCCTGCACAAGGAACCAAGGTAGCAGGTGCATAGCTGCACTTAGGTGGGGGAACATTTGAACCTTAGATGACTCGGAGAACTAGAAGAGCAGCACAGAGAGAAACAAAACACCCTGGCAACCTCTCTCTTCTCACCCCTAATCCCCCACAGTCATGGGCTCCACAGCCAGGGCCGGGGAAGCTCCCCTCCAAAGGTCAATGTGGAAGAGAATCCCAACAAACAGCCAGTACAGATGCTAGCAGTCCTACTTCTGGGAAGTTTTCTAATCTTCACAGAACCATAGCCCATGTAGATATATCCACTGAGCCCTAGGCTGTGGGCTTGCTTTGGAAGGGTATCCTACATCACCTCCCACAGAACCCCCAGGGAGCTATAGTTAGATACATCTTGAGAAAGGCATCACTGTCTGAACATGCATTGCTCTAGGGGTCAGAAACCCCCACATATTCTCATCTTTGGGATCCCCACAGACTGTGTTGATACCACATTAATAAAAAACTTCACTCAGAGCAGTCTGACCAAGAGTGGGCTTGATCTTGTTCTGAGGTGTTCTGATTGTTTTCTTAGAACTGCCCATTCCAATCCACTCTCCCATCCCATCCCATCCCATCCCATTCCAATCCATTCTATTCTAATCGAATCTATTCAATTCCTTTCTATTCTAACTACACTATTTTACCATTTAGCAATATAAAGAATGAGGAAAGGCATGAGCACTCTATACTAACAGTTTTATAAGAGAAGAAGTTGTTTTTCTGACCCTACTGACTCAGAATAGCACACACACACACACACACACACACACACACACACACACACACACAGATGTCATCAACCTATGCCCCAATGTTATTTGCAATATTTGTGGGGGAGGTGTTGTTTACAGTGTTACTGTTTTCAATGTCATCACAGTCACATCTCATGCACACATACATTTTCCTGAGTCAGGGGCATAACTGAGCCACAAATAGGGAGCATCTTGTAAGATTAAAGCTATGCATTCTGCTCAGCTTGCAGGCATTAGTTATATGAGGATTCTAAATCATTGTAGGGTTGATTGCATTGTTTTTCTTAGCAGGAATACAAAGTTCTAAATGTTCTCAAAAACATATGATTACCTCAGTTTACAAGGTTATGTAAAATTTCAATTTGTACAGGCTTACAAAGAGTCTTTCCCAGAAAAAGCCACTCCCAAAACAGATAATCTTCTGTTCCAATTTAGGAAGTAGCTTCCTCACGAACTTTAACACGGCAAAATGATTGTGATATAAGCACACACACAGGGCCTTATACCATAAGGATATCTTGAAATCAGATCTCTCCATGGTTCTTAGCATCCCAAACATACCATGCTCAGGTACCAGGGTATTATAGACCATGCTTAGGTACCAGGGTGTTGTATAGGATTGTCCGCCAGACAGATGCCATCTTCCTGAGCTTGGCTGTGCCCACTTCCAATGATCATCACAGCTGGGTTTGTAGACTGGTGAGAGTCTTGGGACCTTCACCTGAGCATCTGTCCATACCACCCAACCAGTGGTAATTCAGCCCTAATTACTCTTGACCTCAGGGAAGGGCTAGAGTATTTAGTCTGAGGAAGACTAAGGGAGAGGGGCTCCATTTGTGCAGCTATGGGGAAGCCATCTTCCATGCTGGGTGAAGACTTTCCAATGCAGACTTAGCGGGGAGCACCCACACTCCAGTAAGTAACCCCTCACTCACTGCTCTGTAAGTAAGCTCAGTGAACTCATTGGTTCCCCAGAGTGCATTTTGGTGGAATCCTACCATTAGGACCTTTAGAGGAGGGAGTGGATGTTGCTTAGAGTTCCCCTAGGGAAGGAATTTTAGCAACACAGGGCAGGGAAGGAACACAGGGGTCTGTAGGCATGCTGACTTGACTTTTAACAACCATGGCTTGAACCATTCCCTCACCTTGAGGTGTACAGTGCAAAAGAGAGAGAATGAGAGGAACTTTCCTCAGGTTCAGCACCCTCTGAGGTAGGCACTACAGGCAAAGGATTTATGGCAAAAGCTGCAGGTCTAGCATCTGATGCATGCCTAAGTCTATACTACCAGCAAAGCTGCAGAGAGGATTGCCACTGTTCTCACACTTAGTGGTTCCTGCTGCCACCCAACTTTGTCCACCCACACTCTATCATCAGGGCCACATGTGAGGGTAACAGAGAACCCTGTTGCTCCTGCCACTGCCTGCCCATGTGCACCATCTGGCCAGGGAATACTGATTGGTCAGAGGATACATGTCCAACCCTCACCATGCTGAGGCAACTAACACAGCAGCCCCTGCTAGGTACAGAGCTAGCAGCAAGAGTCCCTGAGGACATCTCCATCATCTAGCAAGGGTCGCTGCTCCCACTGTACGGATAACCACACTGAAGGAGCTCCACATTCATTCCAGTCTTTACCACATCTGTCCAAACTGCTACTGTCCCCACTCTTGCATGACCTGTAGAGATAGTGGGTTACTCTCATTCTGTGACCAAAGTTCTTAGTCATAGCAAAGAAGTCATTTGTGGTAACACTGTGGTACCCAGCTGGAAACAAAGCCAACACTGAGCAACAAACCTATACCTCATGACACATCTTTAGGGTTGATTCCCTAAGACCAACCTACATAAAGGGCAAAGAGAATTGACCCCTGAGATCTGCAGCCCTCAATGTAGGAACACCAGGAGTATGAAGAAGAGAAGCTGACTGTGTAGCGATGGGTACTGAAGAGGGCAGAGGAAGAAAATTCCTGGCAATGGGCTCAGTGAGATCCGAGAGAACCCTGACAAGTAGCTGAATGAAGCCAGGAAGACAGTGCAGGCTGAGTGAGGCATTCAGCAGAGAGAGAAAATGTACAAAAGAAATGAACAGAAAGTTTAGAAATGAAGAGCTCAGGGGCTGGAGAGATGGCTCAGCGGTTGAGAGCACTGACTGCTCTTGCGGAGGACCCAGGTTCGATTCCCAGCACCCACATGGCAGCTATGAACTTAACTCCAGTTCCAGGGGAATCCAAAGCCCTCTTCTGACTGCTGGGGCATTGCACGACACGGGTGCACTCACATACACGCAGGCAATACACTTGTACACATAAAATAAAAATAATAAATAAAATATTTAAAAAAGAAATGAAGAGCTCAATAAGTAAAAATTAAAGATTGAGAACTGCAATCAACAGGAGACTAGATCAACAGGAGAATGGAACTGAAGACAGGTCATTCTAATATCCCAGATTCCTTCCGCCCAAACAGCAGACAGACAAACAAAACCAAAAACTAAACGGAAGAAGAGGAGGGGGCAGAAGGAGGAGGAAGGGGAGGAGGAGGGGGAGGAGGAGGGAGAGGAGGAGGGGGAGGAAGAAGAGAGCATTCAGGACTTGGGATAACATTAAATGAATTTCTGGAATACTGGGAGGCAATGAGAAGGAAGTTAAGAAGATAGAAAACTCATTCAATGAAATAATATGAGAAAATTTCCCTGATCTTGGAAAAGCTATGGACATGCCTTCATAGGAGGCTCATAGCGCCCCAAATAGATATGGCCAGAGTCTTCACCATGTCATCCTGTAGTTAAACTGTCAGAAGTGCAAGAGCTGTAATATTTGCAAGAGAAAAGATACGCGTAGAGCTATCTCTCTTAGACTAATAGAAGATTCTCAGCAGAAAACTTACACCAGGAAAGAATGTATTCTAAGTCCTGAAAAAAGATAACTGCCAAACAGGATTACTATACCCATCAATGCTCTCCTGCAGAAATGAGGGAGAAGTAGACTTTCCAAGACAAGCAAAAATGGAAGAAATTAGAACCATCAGACCAGCCTTACAAAAGATCTATCAGGAAGGAAATCACACTCAGAAGTGAAGGGAAGCGGCTACCATGGGTTGAGGATGTACCTCGGTTGGCACGGTGCTTGCTTAGCATGGACAGGGCTCTGAATTTGATCCCCAGCACCACACAAAACCAGGCATGATGGCGCATGCCGGCAGTCCGAACACACGGGAATAGAGACAAGAGGGTCATCAGCTATACGCCCAGTTGAGTTTGAGGCCAGTTGATTTTGGGCTACATGAGACCCTATCTCAATTAAATTAAGTTAATTTTTAGAAAGAGAGAACTACCATTAGTCACAAAAGTATGCCTATGTGGAAATGTCATAATGGACTCCATTTCACACAGTATATGCAGTTAATACATGTTACTAAATAAAGGTCCCAACTTGGGAAAACAGAATCTTCTGTTTCTGTTTCTGTTTTTGAGGCAGGGTTTTGCAGCCAAGGGTGGCTATAGGCATGTACTACTGTGATGGCAGGAAAGCAAACTCCTAAATGGAATAAGTGGGGTTAATCTCACTCATAGTTTGCTGTAAGTTATCTGAAGTTGTTGGAACTAAGAGATTTAGGAAGGCCGGAGGCAGCCAATAAAAGACAATGTGCACTTATTTCTTTAAGGCTAAAAATGAAAGAATGAGACAGTATCTCTAGAGAGACGGAGAAGGTGGCACTGTGCCTGTCTGTGGAGAGAGGTGCATGGACACGAAGAATGTTCCTCTTTACCTCTCAGTAACCAGAATCTGTCACCGGCATCAATGCTTCAAATTCACTGAAGCTTCCCTGTGAGGAGGCACTGTCCTGTGAACACAGGGTCCAGCTCCGGGCCCCTCAGTGTTGCCAGGCTCCTTCCTGGTTCAAGGTGAAACCCCATGCCGGAGCTGAAGCCCAGGGGCCCTTAGTGATGGTCCTCAGTGTTAAAGTCAACACAGGGTTCAGACAGTGGTAGAAATCTGAAAAAGCCACTACTTCCTAAGCTGAGTTCTACAGCAAGCTTCCTATATCACTTCACTTCACCTTAAACCACACCTCAGAGCAAGTGAATAACTCCATTTCGTTCTAAATAATTACTGTCAAAGCATCTGTAGATTTTAATTGATTTTAGTTTTTGATCAACACTTATTTGTACATATTTCATCTTTTTAAAAAATATTTTATTTATTATTTTTATTTTATGTGTATGCATATATTGCCTGTATATAAATAAGTGCATCTGTGTCGTGCTATGCCTGCAGAGGACAGAAGAAGCCATTGGATCCCCTGGAACTGGAGTTATAGACAGTTGTTAGCTGCCATGTGGGTGCTGGGATTTGAACTTGGGTCTTCTGCAAGAACAGTCAGTGTTCTTAATCTCTGAGCCATCTTTCCAGCCCCATATTTCATCTTTGTATTTTCAATTCCAACCTATCAAGTATAAACTTTTTTGATTTATTTATTTTTATTTTATGTGTATGAGTGTTAGGCCTACATATGTGTAAGTGCACATGTTGTGCAGTACCTGAGGAGGACAGAGAGGGTGTTGGATCTCCTGGAACTGGAGCTACTGATGGTTGTTAGCCACCTTGTGGCTGCTGGAATTCAAACCTGGGTCATCTGAAAGAACAGCCAGTGTCTTAACCTCTGAGTCATCTCTCCAGCCCAAACACTGCTTTTATTTTTTGGTTGTTAGCCTGAGCCTTTAGTGACTGAGCTATCCCTCCAGCCCTCAAACATTGTTTTTTTTAAAAAATCTTTGTGTGTATAATGTGTGCATACAATGTGTATATGATGTTTGTTTGTGTGTGTGTGTGTGTGTGTGTGAATATGTATGCACATATGCCTGGTACATGTGTAGAGGTCAGAAGACAACCTCAGGTATTGGTCCTCAATTCCAGTTTGTTTGAGGCAGGGTCTCTGTTATTCACTGATGCATAACACAGGTTAGCTGGCCTGCAGCCCTTAGCTCAGAGTAGAAGCACTAGGATTACAGACATGTGCTATGGTGCCCACCATTACATGGGTTCTTGGGATTTGAACTCAGGTTATCATACTTGCATGGCAAGTACTTCGTCCACTGAGCCATTGCCCTGGTCTCCCTAGCCCTCAAATTAGATATTTTTAAATGGTATCTACTCACATGTTAGCCAGAGGGTAATCCTGGGAAACACCAGCCCCTCCGTGTACCTGGATGGCCCAGTCAGTGATCTTGCAGACAGCTCGGGGGGCAGCCACTTTGATCATTGCAATCTATATAAGCAAGATATGAAAAGAATGTTCTTTTTCCAGACTGTGCAAAATGTGCCAGGATTTGATATAATTGATATTTTCTTTGTGAAGAAAACTTTGCCAGGAAACTTTTCCACACCCAAGCCACCACTAAAACAGGATCTTTGGTGAAAGCCAACAGAAAGCTGTATGAGGCAGTGAATGTCCCTATCTCAGTTAACAGAGACCTCCTGGAAAGAAATCTCTCTTCCAAATCACATTTATTTGTAACTTGCCTTATTTCCAAAAGGACTGTCAGCAGCTTGTAAATTATATTCATAATGCCCGGGGGTCATATGGTCTTTTCTTAGCAATTTTATGGGCTTTTAGAATGAAATGATTATGCACTCATTCTAGATAAACTGGAAACAGGGGAAGGCAGGGGACAGTGGGTGTCTTATATGAAACATTTACAATGTGGCAGAACTGTTCTATGCCTTCTGTACCCATTTTTGCCATCCTGAGGCCAAAGCAGGAGGACACTCAGGTTGCAGGCTAGCAGTGGTAGTGCAGAGGGCACTATCAACTCCAGGTGTGGAGAAAGTCTAGGACTTGCCCACCCCTTGTTGCTGCATCTCAACGACTCTGAAGATCCTCTGCATCCTGACAGTCACTCCCTTAGGCAGCCCAATGAGAAGAAAGCTAGCAGCCGAAAGACAGTTATAGCCTTTAAACCAAAAATCACATGGGGACTTTGCAGCTGGAGGATGAGATGGGGCAGCTCACCTCCTTCTTGGCTGCAGCACTGCCCAGAGTATCTATGCTGTAGGCAGCTCTCAAGGTCAGCAAGCGGATCTCTTCGATGGCAATGCGGCTCTCAGCAATCCAGTGAGCCACAACCTCCTGCAGGGGAGTAAAGGGAGGATCAGTTGGTGCCTCGCATCAACATGTAACCACAGTCTTGTAGGTCCATAAACATTTTCTAGGCCACCCACAGCCCTGCTTCACAAGCTTCGCATTATATATCGTTAGGTAAAAGAGCAGATTCCCTTGATGGGCACCAATGTAGCCACATACCTGTGGAATACTATAGGCGAAGTAAGAAGACTGCAGAAGGAGCCTTGACAGCTAATGTCAAGATAGCTGAGCTGAGTAACTGTCTTACTGCCACACTCCTCCTCTGGCCCTTGTGAATGCTAGTGGTGGGCCCTCATTGAAACCTGCTATACATACAGTGATGGAGCTGGTGCTGTCAGACAAGATCATTCTCTGCACAACTTCAGTGTGAGGATGATCCAGCAACCCTTCACTGTGATGCTATTTATTGAAAATAACCTTCCCCAAGAAAGGAGAGATGACCTCATGCCTATAATCCCAGCGCTTAGGAGGTAGAGGCAGGGGATCAGGAGTTCAAGGCCAATCTGGGCTACCTGAGACTCTGAACAAAACAAAACAAAGCAACCAAATAAGCCAAAATGCCTTTTTATTTAGTGGACAAATCGAACACATGTGCTTAACATATGTAGAAAATAACATGTCCACAACCCAGATGCCGAACAGCTCCATTTCCCCCCAAACGCTCAGCACCCTTATGGGCTTAACACCCCCCCTTCTGGATTTATACCCTCAAATCTGCTCATCACTGACAGGCTTTCCCTCACTGAAGTCTTGCTTTTTCCATTGTTACACAATGAGATCATCTAGATGTATTCTTTTGAGAATGGCTTCTTTCATTCAGTGTAATGCTTTGAGTTTCACCCAAATGGTTCTGTTTATTAACTGTCCATGATTTTTTTTTTTCTGAGAAGAATTCCATTCTAGGGATGATCACTGTTTACCCATTCATTTGCTGAGGAACATTTAGTTCCAATTTTTGATTAACAGAGCTTTTATAAATCTTTGTATACAGATCTTTGTATGGATTTATATATATATGTTCATTTTATTTTATTTTATTTATTATTTTTTTTTGGTCTTTTTGAGACGGCCTCCCTGTAACCCCAGCTGTCCTAGAACTCACTATGTAGACCAGGCTGGACTTGAACTCACAGAGATCCACCTGCCTCTTCCTCCCAAGTGCTGGGACTACAGGCATGCGCCACCACTCCTGGTTTGTCTGGATATATATTTAAAGCAAATACCAGGACTGGAATTGTTGCTCAATGGCTAACATTCATAAGAAGTGGTCAGCTTAAGTGGCTGTGTCATTGGGCATTTGTACCAGCTAGCTATACAACAAAATAGATAAACATATAGCATTTATATATACAAGCAAAGGAACTGGGAACACTGAAATAAAAACCACAGTAAAATCTATAATGACTGAAAAATTGAAATGCTTATGTGTAAAAACAGCCGTGTGTTGCCTATGAACGGTGAAATGGGTTGCTATGTGATTCTGTTGCTTTGTGCATATGAGAGGGTACTTACACAAACTAAAACTAGTATGTCAGAGGCAATATAATCTTACTTATGGGAGTACCGTTGCCTATGCCACCCGTGATGTGGTCCATGACTGTATAACAAACATGACTACAGTGTGCATGCTGAAAGCTACGCACAGATGATGAAAGAGACCACAGAGAAGCTGAACATGCTGAAGCATGCTGTGTTCATGGAAAAGAAGACAGCACAGCAAACACATCGATTCTTCTTAAACCGATGTATTAGTTTGACATAATTCCTATCAAAATCTCACTGAAATCACTTTGCAGCTATAAACCATATTATTCTAAAACTTATGTGGAAAAATAAAGGGATTCGAGTAGCCAAAATACTCTTAAAGAGAAGAATAAAATGAGACAAATCAATCTAGCTTATTTCAATACTAGTTATAGTTACATAAGAATATGTGATCTTGGTAGTGAAAACAAACATATAGAGAATTAAGACAGAACAGAGAACCAAAAATAGACAACAAAACCATGCCTGACTGGGCTCTGAGAGAGACAGAAAAGCATTTAAATAAAGGAAAGATACCTTTTCTAACAAATGTTGCTGGAATGAACAAACAAAACCAACCAAACAAAAAATCTTGACTGAAGTCCTATACCTTATACCAAAATTAAACTATACACTGGAAATTAAAATGCAAACATTTTGGAAAAATTATTAGGAAAAATCTTCAGGATCTAGGAGGGCAAAGTGAAGACTTGAAGCCAAAACATGGTCCATATAGACAAAAAAGGACAAGTTAAAGTTCACTGAAATGAAATACTTTTGCTCTGTGACAGGTCCTGTTATAAGAATGAAAAACAAAACACCTATGTGTGTGTGTGGGGGGTGGGCGTTATTTACAAAGCACGAAGCTGACAAAGGATAGTACTGAAAACACATAAATTACTCTAAAAACTCAACAGTAAAATACAAACAATGCAGGTAGACAGTGATGTCAGGCATGAACCTACAGAAATGATATGGCAAATAAGCAAGCCGTCCCTATAAGGTTGACATCCATCAAAGCTTCTTGAGATATCATTACAAACCAATCAGGATGCCTAAAATATAGAAAATTGTACAGCACCATGTGCTGGTGAGGATGCATAGAAAATGGACCATTTTATACACGGTTTATGAGAATTGAAATTAGCTCCTTAAAGAACTGGACATACAATGGTCACATTACCCAGGAACTGTACTCTTGGGTATTTATCTCAGGTAAATGATAACATAATATATTCACATGAAAACCCAATACAAATGGTTATACTAACTTTATTTGTAACATTTCCAAATTGGAAACAACCTAGATGCCCTCAACAGATAAAGAGTTAACAACATAGAGCATATCTATACTAAGACTCTGCTCATCAATGAAGGAACCAAATACTGAATCACACAACTTGGGTGATTCTCCAAAGAACAATGACTGAGTTAAAAAGTTAAGCCAGCACTACTATCCTCAGGCCTCTTGTGGTAAGTCTATAGCGCAGCTCTCCGCTCCGGGACTCCCTAAGCCTCATTCACCCCTTCCATCCCCCCCCGCCATTCTATACTCCTAGTTTGGGC